GGGGAGGGGTGAGCAACAACATGTTGACTTGTTCGGGTGAGAGAGGGTGCAGAGTCTTTAGCGATACAACACAATTGCTTGGGTCCTTCCATGGCAGAGAGAAGGGAGGGGGGGGGGGCAACACAATGAGACGACGATTTAGGCAAGGAAGGCGGCAACAGTCACCGTCGGCTAGAAGCGTGTCTGGTGTGGATGGGTGGGAACTTTTTTTCGGACAATTGTTGTACTGGTGGCCCCATTTTTTTACTTCGTAGGCACGGGCGCAGAAATTTGCTCAACAAAGGTGGGCAAACTATTGCTGTGAATTTGCGAAAATCCTACATTGACGAAAAATCCATACGGATTGGTTTTTACGGACCTGTCTTCCACTAAGGGGGTGTTTGGTTCCAGGAACTATTTGGTGTTGGAATTAAAAAAAGTCCCTAGCAAACCAAACAGGGTGGGACTTTTTTGAGACTTTTTACTAAAAGTCCTTGGAAGTATCTCCTTGAGAGTCTTTTTCAAAAAGTCCTACAGACTAAAAAAAATCCTAGAACTAGAGAACCAAACATCACCTAATTTTCAGGGGTGACCCCCCTCTTCCCATAAATACCCAACCGCAGTTTGACACGGTCGTCCGTAACGTCAGTATCGTATGAACCTGTCCGTAGCTCTAGCATCTCTCGTGAATTTGGGCCAAATACCTTTTGCGCTCCTCATCGCAACGTGAAGTTTTGTGTTGCTCGCCCATTCTTTTCAATTTCCGTTGGTCTTGTTGCCCCGGTAGCCGTTGCTCCCACGTCCACTCCCATCGGCTGCTCTGCTCCGTCAGCCGATGCTTTAAAAACGGCAACTCGCATTTCCCCCTGCTCTCTCCTAGCCGTTGCCCGACCCCCTCCCTTTGCCATCTTGGCGTCTGCGCCCCACAATTTTAATTGCCAGTATAGACCGGAAGCATCCTAAGCAGCAGCAGCAGCAGCAGCAATCAGTGCCCCACAGCCAGCCACACTGAATCAAGACTGCCGCCGAGGGAGAGGAGATTGATCGGGGAGGAGGATGAGAGGCCTCAGATCGCGGATCCTCCGGACCCTGCAGTCCTTCCCCAACGCCGCCGCCGCGCACTCCAACGCCCTCCTCCCGCCGCCCGACGCCGCCGCACCCGCGCCGTCGGAGGCCGGGCCCGAGCGGGCCGATGGCGACTGCCGGGGCGGCAACGACGACGACAAGGAGAACCTCTCGCCGGAGGCCAACCCGCGGAAGGCCAAGAAGATGAAGGTCACCTGCGACCGCGAATTGGGGAGTCCGGCGGCGATGTCTCCTGTGGAGCCCGGCGGGCCCTACCGCCGCCCCGAGCTCGAGTCGGCCAGCCTCTTTGATCCGGACCTCCTCGCCGCATTCCGCGGTGTCGTCGACGCGTACACGCAGGCGCTCGAGAAGACCCAGCGCCAGCCCATCGACGACGACGCTGACGACGACATCGCCGCCGCGCTGGACGCCGGCGGCCGCGACGAGGACCCGCTGGCTGGGCTCGAGAGCCGGTGCCCGCCCGGCGGGGCGCGCGCCGTGGTGCTCTACACCACGTCGCTGCGCGGAGTGCGCAAGACGTTCGAGGACTGCGCCACCGTGCGCCGCCTGCTCGACGGGCTCCGCGTCGCCTTCCTGGAGCGCGACGTCTCCATGCACGCGCCCTACCGGGACGAGCTCCGCGCGCTGCTGCCGCCTCCGCCGGGCCCCGGCGGCGCCGGCGCCAGCATGCCCCTGCCGCCGCGGCTGTTCGTGGACGGGAGGTACGTGGGCGGCGCGGACGAGGTGGTGGCGCTGCACGAGCGGTCGCGGCTCCGTCCGATGCTCCGGCGCGCCGCGCGGAGGGGCGCGGGCGACGCGGCCTGCGCGGTGTGCGGCGGCGACTGGTTCGTGGTGTGCGGCGGGTGCAGCGGCCGTCATTGGCTCTATGACGACGGCTCGGCCGCCGCCGTCGCCGCCAACCGCGTGCCGTGCCCCGGATGCAACGAGAACGGGCTGGTGCCGTGCCCCCTGTGCAGCTGAGGTGATCCCTGCGCTGCCCCGACAGACATGTACATCTTTTTTGTGTATTACCATGGCGACAGCAAAATTCTTTGAGATTGTTTCACCCTGTTGTAAGTAGTACTGTATAATTTATCAGACATTTCTTGTCTGCTCATTCACCCTGCAAATTGTGAAATCGATGAGTTTTTGTCGGACTTGCTCTGTATTGATACAGTCTGAATCGCAGAAGCCAGAAACAAATCGATGTCAATGCCTGCTGATGAGGTTGGTCT